CGAATCGACTCAAGTTTGTAGTCACGTTTTAAGAACGAGAAACGTTTATGTATCATTCACGGGTCTTGACCTCCGGTGGTGCGGATCGACTCTGTGCGAATCGAGTCGAATCGTCAAGTGCCTCAGACGAATCGACTCTAGTTGGGTGTATTGGACATGAATGTGCCGCAGAACACACGAGTTTGCCGGTATTTGTCGCCGGACTTCCTTACTACTCATTGCATGCGACATTATCTAAACTATGCTGACGGTGGAGTTGGATATAATGTAGTTTTGTCGACACCTGTTCTTATAACTGAATGCATAATTACTAAAACAAAACGCATTTTTAACAATTTGAAATTAAAAACAGTCAGGCTTGGGAAACGACAGCAGGCAGCACATTGCAATAACTAGGAATTAAATTGTGGATCGCAAGATCTGACTTGCATGTCACACGACTGTAGAAACAGAAAAGAATTCCGCACAACAGCACTGGAAATCAGACGGAAAACAAGCAATTTGGGAAACAATCTGGGAAACAAGCCGTATAGTTCCCCCGCGGTGTCTAATTATAACAGAGCCTCGGTAAATTGATTACTCTGCAGCGCCGATAAGAATCAACAATTCAATCTCCCTGTGGTCGATATATGTCCAAATAATGTTTTGTTCTTTTTCATCCTTGTCATAAAGTTAACGTTGCTGTCAAAATCAAACAAGTAAAATGTACGACGGCCGGTGAACAAACATCTTGTTTATTAGGAAGCATCAGATTAAGAGATGCAACAGACTTGAGTGATAAAAAGCCTTCTTCAATATTTGGAAGGGTAGCTAAGCTCTTATAATTCTGTTTGTTGTCATAGGGTAGCCGGCAGCTGATATTCTTTTGGGATTAGGGGCATTGTGTCTTTTACCTCGCTCGTGTTTGTGCCGCTCAAAGAGAAAGAATCGATCTCGTTATGATTATTGAAACTGCTGCGATCTAGACTTTCGTTTCTTTATCTTAATTATAATATTTTCGGAACCAGAGCATCGATGTTTTAGGTTTTCGCGACAGTGCTTGTAACTTAAGTGTCACGAACAAGCTTAAGTTTTAATACAACCTTACTTCAAGATTAGCCTCAATCATAATCTGTACTTTTTCTTTGGCAGATGAAACACAAGAAATTACCGCTGTCCTTAGTGATTCCTTTAATTTTTGGAACATGTTTTTACACCTCAACCGGCACACAAAGTTTCCGACGAGATGGCAAATACAATACAGTAAATTTCGCTCATTTTGTTAATAATCCCTCGCACCGGTTAAATGGCGCTGTTCTGGTGAGCTTCATGGTCTTGAGTCCCATAGAATGTGCTTATCAATGCATTCATAATCAAGATTGCTTCTCATTTAATTTCGCTGCAACTTCACTTGACGGAAGACATTCTTGTGAGCTGCTGAATACGGACAAGTTTCTCAACTCGGATGATTTACTTTACCATGCTGGCTTTGATCACTATAATATTAAGGTAAGAGTCAAACGTTTTTGTTCTTCCACAATTCCAGCTTCTTTTAGTTTTGTGTAATGTTCTTACTCGTTCAGTTCTGGATCAGTTGTAGAAAAGTGATAGTTTGGAAAGAAACGTTACTCATCGACAACTTTATTAATCAAAGATATGATCGACTTTGCAACACCCATTTGGAAGACTTGACAGGTTGTTTTCGAACCAGAACTCACTCTTTCAGGCCAGCAAATTTGCGTTGTGAATGTGCCTGCCGAAATGTCGTTATCTTCGCACCAAATAAATCATAAGTAAAAATCTTGCAAACGATAATATTATTTCATAATTTAAGGATAACCGCAGTCCCTCATAGAATATCTGTTATACAGATTACAGAAAAACATTTTCTATTCAATAAAGACGTTTTTTCCCTAGACATATTGCAATTTATTATTAACATGCCCTATTGTCTCAGTTGGCACAGCTTATTATTCAGAAATAAACTCCAGCGAGAGTGATNAACTTAAATTTTGTCAAATAAAAGAAAAAACGATTTTTTTGGCCTCTGAAGGTGGGAAGTAACCTTAAGCGGCGCTGTTTTGGTGAGCTTCATGGTCTTGAGCCCCATAGAATGTGCTTATCAATGCATTCATAATCAAGATTGTTACTCGTTTAATTTCGCTACAACTTCACTTGACGGAAGACATTCTCGTGAGCTGCTGAATACGGACAAGTTTCTCAACTCGGTGGATTTAGTTTACCATGCTGGCTTTGATCATTATAACATTAAGGTAAGAGTCAAACGTTTTTGTTCTTTCACAATTCCAGCTTGTTTTAGTTTTGTGTAATATTCTTACTCGTTCTGGATCAGTTGTAGAAAAGTGATAGTTTGGAAAGAAACGTTACTCATCGACAACTTAATTAATCAAAGATATGATCGACTTTGAAACACCCATTTCGAAGGCTTGACAGGTTGTTTTCGAATCAGAACTCTTTCAGGCTAGCAAAATTGCGTTGTGAATGTGCCTGCCGAAATGTTGTTATCTTCACACCAAATAAATCATGAATAAAAATCTTGCATACGATAATATTATTTCATAAGGATAACCGCAGTCGCTTGTAGAATATCTGTAATACAGATTGCAGAAAAACATTTTCTAGTCAATGAAGACGTTTTTTCCCTAAACATATTGCAATTTATTATTAACATGCCCTATTGCCTCGGTTGGCACAGCTTATTATTCAGAACTAAACTCCAGCGAGAGTGATCTTTCTCACTTTCTACGAATTATGATTTTAGTAACAGACATTTTAACAATTCTGAGAAAGTTCCGCTGTATTTTTCCACAGACACCTTGCATGAACAACCCATGTCAACATGGAACTTCTTTCTGTCGACCGATTTACAATCGAGATGACTATCAGTGTGTTTGCAAAGCAGGTTTTACCGGAAAGTATTGTGGAATGGGTCAGTTTAATTTTCTTTTGTCTGATATGCACACAATTTCCGAACTGAGAGTCGCTTCAAAAAGGATAACTGAGGCATGTGCAAAACAGAAATCTAAATTATTAACTGTTAATTGACTCAATAATTATAACAAACTAAATTATAAAACCGAGCGATGACGAATGGAGCGGTTTTTCAACTGAGTGTTGTAAAACTTAAATTAAAGTAATCGTATCACTCTGGCCAATCACAAAGGACACAGACAATCAAGTGAACCAATCAAAACTCGAAGTAAATACATGCGAACTCCCCGAAGCGCGGCAAAACGTCTGAGTGAGTCACGATTGGTTAATTTTGGTTTTACTTCTGACTGAATGACAAACTGGCGCGAATTTTTAAGCCAATTGAAATAGTTCGACACTGAAATGAAAAACGCTCTAGCTACAGAAGATCAGTAATTCCCCATCAAGAGACAGTATTAGTTACTTGAACCAAGACTAAAGACATTTTGTAGTTTTTGGTGCCAATATTGTTTTGATTAATCCTTGTATTGCTTGCAAAATTACAACAGTGGTATAACTATGACAAAACATGTGCATGTCAAATAAAGATCCCAGAAAATTTCCTGAAAAAGAGTAAATTAATAATGTGCATTAACATCAATACGGTATGCCCACATTCCCTTTACACTGGTCTGTTTGCTTGACAATTTATGGACGTCTTGACAAAGTGAACCGGCATATATATTTTACAGATATCAACGAGTGCGCCAGCAATCCTTGTTTAAATGGAGGATCATGTATAGACCAGGTTAACGGATATGTTTGTAGCTGTCTGGCGGGATATGCAGGGACTAACTGTGAAACAGGTCAGGGGATAAAACTAAAAAATTCAGAATAAAAATGTCCAGGATATTTCCAGTGTAGACTTACTTTTCAGTGTTCATGGCTTCGGGAATGGATAGCTGGAAGGGACCACCACCGTAAAGAAATATAACAGTATGATGCACAAAGCGAGTTCTATGGTTACGAAAAGCCCTGAATATCATCTTTTACGAAACAATGGCTTCACCATATTTTTGCATCAAAATCCTTTTTTGATTTTCATCGATCTTTTTAAAATGGAATACAACTACTTTTATAATACATTAATTTAATGATCATGGTCGATAAACCAGAATTGTTAGCACAGTTCAAATTGTTATGATCTTAACGTAGATATCAACGAATGCGCCAGTAATCCTTGTTTAAACGGAGAAGCGTGTACAGACCGGGTTAATGGATATGTTTGTGGCTGTGTGGCAGGATATGAAGGAGATAACTGCCAAACTAGTGATTGGAACATGTTACTTTGCCGTAGACTCTTCCATGATTGTAGAATGTTGGGAAGCAGGGATGGGACGGAGGTGAGAGCGCTCGCCTTCCACCATTGTGGCCCGGGTTAATTGGAACCCTTAGTGGACCCGGTGTAATGAATGGGTTGAGTTTGTTGTTGGTTCTTATCCTTGCTCTAAGGGTTTTTCTCGGGGTTCTCCGGTTTTCCTCCCTCCACTGACAAAAACTAACACAGTACTTCTAAATTCCAATTCAGATCTAGAAATATTGAACGAAGAGGCTCTCTGTGGGATATACAACCGCAAATTCCTATTTATTTATTTATTTGTTTATTTATTTATTTATTTATTTATTTATTGTTATCGTGTCAGATGATGTCAAAACATGGTCGAGTCGTGGGTGAGGCTGCCAATAATTGTAAATTTAAAAGATACATTTGGAAAATCTTGTTCTAGAGTACAATAAAATTTCGTCATCCGTCCTCATTGCACCATGGGACGCATAAGCCCTTACAATAAAAAGAACTAAAAAACAATAAAATTTATTTCAAATTAAATTAAAATGGTAAAATAGCCAGCAAACTTGAATTTTACGACAAGAAATTTTTCGCGAAAAAAGGCAAATTTGTCTTAAGTTTTTGTTAAGGCAACAGATGGGTCGTAAGTTTTGACGGCTTTAGTTTCCGAGAAAACGAATTAGGACAAATTGCCGTTTTTTTTTTAAAAAAGTACATATATACCAGTTTCTCCTCGAAAACATCCACGTTTGTGCAACCGGTTGTAAAAAAATCACATCATTTGAACTTTTTCTTCATTCTAGTTCAAGCACAGTTGAAGGTATCCAGAAAAGTCAACCTAGATTATCTTCGCATATTCTCACATGTATTCTCAGTCTCCTGATGAACACGTATTTATATTGTTTCCTTGAGAAAATTAACCTATTGATTTGTATTGGTTTAACTGGCAAGTCTTTAGACTGAAGTTCTTTATGTTCTTAACTGTGCACAAAAACATTTTCACACAGATACCAACGAATGCGCCAGTAATCCTTGTTTAAACGGAGGATCGTGTACAGACCAGGTTAATGGATATGTTTGTAGCTGTCAAGCTGGCTACACGGGCATACACTGCCAAACCGGTAAGTACAAAATATGATTTACGTCTCTTGTTATAACAGTTCTGTATCATGTGGTTTAAACACAACGATCGATGAAGACGCTCACAATATAACTGTTTAGAAAATAACCCAGAGAAAATACGTTCGCTGATTGGTTTAAAATCGTGTTTCTATTTATATTTAACAATTAGATTATGAGCTCGAGATTTCTATCGCGCAATAGTTGACGAGGGCGCAGCCCGAGTCAACTATCACGCATAGAAATCGAGAGCGAATAATCTAGTTGTTTTAGTATAAATCTACTAGCGTTCTATCA